GTCGAAACGACTTATTATACTTTGGTTAAAAGCGTCAGCTAAATGTAATGTAATCCAAAAAATCATTCTCCACAAGTTGCATAAGCTTTGACTCCAACAAAAAATACGTTTCAGGAACGGTTTGGTTGATCTTTACTCAACAAAAGATACAGTACAAACACATATTTTCAAAGGTCAAAAAACGATATTGCTCCGTGATTATTTTCTTCTTCTCACTTTAATAACCAGCAGCTGCAGTCGGCTATGACGTCAATTTACACAACATATAATAATATTACTAATACACAGGATTACAATGTTCAAATATATCTATTTACACACATAATATATCAAATGTACTTTTTAACATATGGCTCCTACATACGGAATGAAACGACCTCAGTCTGTAATAAGGAAGATGGCAGTTATCTCTGTTACTCACACCAAACCTTTGCTCCACATAAGAAAGTACTAACTGACTAGTAAGAAATCCTGTGATGAATTAGGCCCTCGGTTGACCGTGGTTACACATTATAAACCTCAGAAATGATCAGGAAGAAGCCATGCTGGCCATCATACACGATCATTTTTGAATTATGGAGAGTGAGATCGACTGAAATTACATCTACATTTTCACATTTGACAAAAAATATTTATATTACATATCCAAAGCGATTTCATACTCAATACTGTGGGCAATCCCCCCAGGAGGCAATTTGGGGTGAAGTGTCTCAGGGACACAACGACATGCTGACTGCAGCGGGTTGAACCTGTGCGCCCCCTGACCCCAACACCTACATCCAACTCACAACCCACTGCGCCACACGCCGCCGTTATAAATACGTTTCTCCCTTTTTTCCCGCAGGTATTCCAAAGGAAACAGGCCGACCAACTCTATCATTCTTCAAGAAGCTGAGCCCGTACACACTGGGAGCGCTGATAGGTGAGAACAGCCAGTGATTCATATTATAAAATATGTTATAATAATTATATAAACTCTGAAACCCTGAATCCATTGAACTGTTTTGTATTGGGAGAATCCATTATTCCTTTATTGTTTTTAGCGGATGTATGAGCACAAGATCTTTCATCCAGGGTGTGAGTGTGGAGATCACAGTTTCGACCAGTGGGGGTGAGGTACTTGGTTATTTGGTTGTTTGTTAAACCCATCGAAACTCTGCTTTAAGGTCAGCCGTCATTTTGACTTCCATAGTTCATGGTTTTATGAAGCCATGTGAACATCTTGGGGTTTGAATATTTCACTCAGCTTTAAGTGGACCTATTATGATATTGGAAATATATGTAGGGCCATACCTATACACAAACATGTCTGTGAAGTCTTTTTGCTTAAAATACCAAACAGATCCCCCATTTGGTAGCCATGCCCATACTGCTCATTACCCCTCTTTGCAGCCCTAATTAGGGAAACCGGATGTTGGGTCCTTAGCTGAGAAAAAAAAAAAGAGGAGTGGAGCTAATGCACGATCAGAATTCTCCGGGATAAAAGTTAAATTCTGCTGGATAAAACGCATCCTTCTAACCACATCAAGGATTAATTTCTGAAACAGTATGGAACTCAAATGCTTTTCTCTTGCGGGTTTATCACAAGGTGAGTCCTTTTTACTTTCTGCTTTTCAAACACATGTGCTCTCCAGTACAGGTAGCCTTGAGTGTAGCGAGGCTTTGCTAACGTAAACAAGACGAAGAATTACGTCCAAAAGCGTCAGGCATTGTTTCTGATAGCAACTTTCTGTGGATCCGCCGCCGGTTGACTCATATTGGCAGCAAATCTGAATCCGCTCGTTGTATCCCCGTTTTTAGAGATTTGGGTACGGAGGAAAAGAGAGAGGGTTTTATTCTCTGACGCTGCGTGGTCCCGACACACGGGGAACATTGATGTATAGAGACATCAAAAAGTGCATTTGCATGATAGGTCCCTCTAAGCGTTAAGAGCATAACATGACCTCTTTAACTTAGAAGTCCTCTCTAAATAAGGGCATTTGAATAAACTGTGAAAAGGGATTACTAAATGCTCTGAAAACTTCACCTGGTTAATGTGGCTGAATTGTCCATTTCTGATTGAACGTTAAAGGTCCCCTATTAAACTTTTTTTCAACTCAGTCTCAGATATATAACATGTCTTCAGAGTGTTTGGCTCAAATACCAAACAGATCAGATTTTGCACATAGGTGACCTTTAACTCATTCATATTTGTGTTCTTCCACCTTAAACCAATCTTGTCCCAACATTGTCTTAGGTCTCAATACTTTGATGTGTTATTTCATGTCACTTAGTTTTATCTTAAATTCGCTGCTACTCATTTTTAGTCCATGGTTGGGACCATTTATCGTTCATTACCTTGCCTGTCTTACCTGCACTGTATGCCAGGTTTGCTCACTGTACATGTCCCCGTGTGGGACTATCATAATAACCTCGTGAGGCTCTCCAAACCAAAATCATCTGGGACCCAAACCATGTTCTGAACTGCGAATATGAACTGCTACCCATCTAATGGGAGATAGCTTCAATAAAGTCAGACTGAAGAATCCTTTGAAGTAACCTTTGAAGCATCCTTGAAGCATCCTTTTGTGCTCCAGTCAATCCTCACAGTAAACACAGATCTGAATCCAGATCAAATGCACGCTGAAGGCTCTCTTTGAGCATGTTTTTCTCTCAGTGGATCGTGGCTGTTATGTGAAATGTTCTTGTTTGTTTGTCATGTATTGTGTCTGATGTTTGTCTGTTGATGTTACACATGGAGCTGTGGGGATGCAAGTCACACTTTCAGACTTGATCTGACCGTTTAAGTATTATCGATTCCTGATTCTGATCTTTTCCCCTCCTTCCGCATCATTAGAGTGGAACTGGGCAACAGCTCTGTGCAAGACGACTTGAGGCCGAGCTGAAGGACGCCGCGAGGTCCACTCCACGACGCCTCCACCAACCGGACTTCATCAAACTTCCTCAAGAAAAACTCCGCCTGATCCCCCCCCCCTTAAAGGTCCCCTATTATGACTTGTTTTCCATCAATATATTATACGGTCTCAGATATATACAGAAACATGTCTCTGATTGGCTGAAACACCAAAACAGATCATTGCAGCCATACCCATAACCCCTCTGTTTCAGGCCTGTTTCAAAGTGCTGTTCTGTGTCTGTTACTTTAGATGAAATAAGGAGCCCCTCCCCACGCCCCTCTGAGAGATATTTGGTTACAAAGAACTCAATGGAGCTCTAGGAGGAGATTCAGGTGATAAGGTGTGTGGGGGGGGGTTACCTTGGTTGCTGATTGGCTAATGGTTACACAAGCCAACAAATCGTTATGACATCACAAAGTGACCAAAATCTGATCAGCTCATTTTCAGACAGGTTTTTATAGAAATAGATAAAAAAGAGAGAGAATCTTTGTTCCTGAAACTTTCAGAGTCTCTTCACACAGAGGGGACACATGTTGATATAGAAGAGACATGAAGAAGTGGATTTAGCACAATAGGTGACCTTTAAAACAACTGCCACTTTACTCCACATCATTATCCATCATATCAGCTCGTGCACAAACAGGAGACTCCCACGCAGTCGGGCTGAAGCACTCTGTATGTTTTTACTCGTGTTATGAATATAGTGACTGTGTTTTTCTATGTTTGTCTCTGCACCGCCGTGAGGGGAACACTTTTGGGTTTAGAGTTAAATGTGCTCACTCCACTGTTGCAGGAAATAAAGTTTACGCAATAAATATCTTTACAGAATGTCTGTTTCAGTGTTTAGTGTACAATAAGTAGTTGTCGAGTCTAACTAGGTACATTTATTTTAGTATTAAGTAAAATGTTGGGGTATTAGTAATTCAGTATTTCTAGTTTTTCTTTACTTCATACTTCATTACACGTCAGAGGGTAATGTTTGATTTCTTAATCCACTACATTTGACACTGTATTAACTTTGTACATTAATAACATGATGTGTTTGCTTGATATACTACTTATTCAATTAGCAGTGCACAAAGTATACAAAATGTGTTCCACAAACACAAATAACATCATTAAGAAAAATATGTTATGTATTTCGTAGTTATATAAACAAGATAATCATATTCTATAATAATTTAACACTTTCAAAGAGGCTCTACTGTGCTTTTTTTCGGGTTTCCCTTCTCTGTAGTGTTTTTTTTCCGGATAATGCTTCTGTATTATGTAACGTCTTGAACTTAAGACGTTTAGGGATTTTAATGAAGTATTTTGAGACTGTGAGATTGCTACTTTTACTTAAGTGAGGAATCTGAGTACTTTTTCCACCACTGACAAATAGCAACGTGCTTTAAAAACATCATGCTTTCTCTCTTTTTTGAGCAACTTGTCACTAGATGGCATCAGAGGGCCAGTTTTGTTTATCACTGGGAACAACTCAGCCACCCAGTAATCTAACATTTATTCAGCAGAACAAAGGGTCAAAGGTCAGTCCATCTCCCCACAAATCCCCCGACGCCAGCATCCATTTAGAGCCAAAAGCAAACAGCTGGAATAAACAGCAATCTGCATTTAAAGGACTCGCTGGCACTACATTTGTTGAACACAATCTGCTCCACATGTCACTCCTGAAACAGTTTTAGCGTAAGATGTTTTCAAGGATATTTCAACAAATCAGACTCATCCAACTCAGCTATCTGTGAAGGCTTTTAAATACTCATTTCAACTTTCACATCTGAATTTACAGAAAGATAAACACACTGACTAACATCTGGCTCTCATTCAGCCCAAAAAAGAAATACTCCCACGCTTGTGTCAGCCTCTTTTTGTCTGCTGGCTTTACAGTCAATCGTGAACTTTTGCTTGTTTTATTTTATTTCTTTTGACCAAGGCTGTTTCTGGTTGAAATAACATATTTGATGAATGGCATGAAGTTCATTTATTCAGCCAGAGGTGGAAGTAGAAGTCAGATCCTTTACTCAAGTGTTTGAGTAATATCAGCAAAATGTTATATATGTTAAATTATAAGCACTCTTTCTGCAGTAAAATGTCCCTTATTACTATTATATATGATATTTAAGGATTTAAGGTGCCGTGTGGCGCAGTGGACTAGTGCATTGGTGTTCGGACCATGGGAGCACAGGTTCAAACCCCACTGCAGTCAGCATGTCGTTGTGTCCCTGGGCAAGACACTTCACCCCAAATTGCTCCTGTGGGGATTGTCCACAGTATTGAGAATGTAATTAAGGATACATTTTCCTTATTCTTTAAATTAAAGGTTGCCTTTCACTGCTGTAGATGTGCAATGCATCATATCCAGTAGACTCTGTTTGAGCGTTTACCTGCAGGCCTCTCTGTTTTTTGAGGCATTTATTCCACTCTAACATCAGCATGGATGAAATGTTCATATTTAAATATAAGATCAGAGAAGATGGACCTTCATTAATCCCTGTAGGGAAATTCAGTAGTTTAACAGCAACAGGGTGAGATTGAAAAACAGGATAGCACAGATTCACCCAGATTAATACTTCAAAGATACAAATTAAAAATAACTATAGAATAAGAAATGAATTAAAAGGAACATAATAGATATTTGGTCATGTGTACATATTATTTACATGTGTGTGTGTTTAGAAAAGTGCTATTAAAATCAAATGTATTGAACTAAATGTTGTGTATTAATTGTTGGATTGAACTACCCTTTGTCTGATATAATAATAACCAGTGGTAATCTGACGTCCATGATGTATTTATATATTCATCCATCACATGTAATGATGAACTGAGGGACACCATGTCCCTCAGTTCATCATGTGACGAAGTATGTTTCCTCTCCTCATAGTGGTCCAATTACAGATTGTGCATGAGGACAAACAGAAAGTAATACAAAAATATTTCAGACACAGCCGGGTTTTCAATCCTGTTGCCAGGCAACAATACTTCATATCTAACGTTTCTTATCTCCGGCTCTGAAGCAGGATGCAGAAGAAAGTGGCTGAGGACAGAAAACCCTCCTAATTATCATTGCTCTAGATGTTCTTATGTCCAAAAGAACAAGACGTTTGTTATATATTTTTTAATTATTACAGATCATTTGAATCAGTTCTGCTGAGTTGTCCCCAGGTGGTCCAAACGCTTGATTGGGGTAAAAGAAAACTTTTAATAGAAATTACACAATTGTCCTATAGTTTGGATTATTATTACATGTATAAACAGTTTTATGAAAAACGGTTAAACAGCTTGATTTTTCACAATTCTATTTGTATTTATTTATTTTTGAATGTTAACATAAAAAGATATGAAATATCAAATAAAAACACGACATTTAAAACAACTAAGGAGCTGGTTAAACAATGTCAAAGCATCAGGGAGAGGAAAACACAGAATTTAAGTGAATATAAGCCTATTAAGATTGTTTTTAAAATAACTTAAAATAAAATAAATAATAAAAACAGGTCTATCTGTTGAAATATGAACAGGAAATAATCTGCTCAAAACTCAACTTCTTGAATTAATGTGTTATGTTTTTGTATTGTAGTTGCACACTTTATTAGTTGTTGTGTTCTGTTGTTGTTATGCATTAGGATATGAAATACACATAAAAAGCCTCTTAGTCCTGATTTCTCAGTTAATTCAAAGACAGAAAACAGGTTAAAAAGATTTGGCACCACCGTATTACAGTCAAATCAGCTGAGTTATGATTACACTTTAACAGATACTGCTATTGACTCACTCCTGAGCTATGGCTCTCTTCTAATCCATTTAAGTCAGGTGCAAATAAACAACACAACTTCAGGTAAATAAGTAATATGTG